GCCACAACATCGCACTATTAAGAGCAAACACTTCTATCGATATTTAGAATTAACAAGACGGTCACGCGCAGCTTTGAATGACATGTAACAAAAATGATTGACAGAAAGATAAATTGAAAATTTGGAGAGCAAAAACCGAAAAGGACAGGGATGACGGGGACTAAGAAGATAAAGGACGTTTACGCACGCTTGCAATTCAGCAGAAAAACAGTATAGATGTCACACGACGGCGAAAAAAAGGTATCAAAGAAAGATTCATAACAAACGTAGTATTGCATGGCTAGTGTAATAATTCGCAATTATCATAAACAACACATAATATTGCACTTTGCTTTTCTTCTTCTCATTAACACATATAAGTGACAAAACGATAAAAATGCGCGTTAACGTGACAATGACTTCCTCCCGTATTCAATCATTATCATATTTTGAATAGCTATGCTATCGTCAAACATCTGCAGAATTTGAGAGCCAGCGGCTTTGATCCATCTACATCACTCTCAATGAGTTTAGGATGCATCGTTTTAATGAGGTAGCCAATTTTAAGTCATGATTAACGCGAGTGCAGAATGATGGATTGTGCTGACCGAATACTTCGTAGTATAAGAGCCCGAGATAAAGAATTGCGGACGACAGAAAGGCAGGCATAATCTTGGAGTGTACGCACCAGCGTGACTTCTCCATTAAGCAAATTATTACATATTACATGGTATGCTAAAAGTGTGTATGTTACACATATATTGACCAATCGAAATTTGGACTTTTTAAAATTATCTACCTAAAGAAAAGAAAGTGATTTCAATCAAAATGAGACTGAATATTACACCTTTCGATATAAAATAATTAAAAAAAAATTGGCGAATATGCGTTCCAGACGTTAAATACACGGCCGTTATTTAAATCATTGTTTTATAACAAGTAATAGTTGGACGCTGTTATTCGATAGTATTTTTCGTGATTTTAAAAATATACAAGTCGTGTCTTTAACGTCCCCATTTTGCGTTCGTGGTTTAGCTTGAAGACAAAAAAAATTATTGGCACGCACAGAAGTATACGGGTACATCAAGCATACAAAAGGTAAATGATAAAAGAATGTCTGATGACCCCGATCATTCGATAAAATTCTTATATGATTAAAATTTGTAAGGAGATAAGACGAAGTAAATGGATTTTGCCCAGAATCCTTGATGCGGTTGAAAATTTAATACTTTGATTTGGCAGCGAGAGTAGCTGGATCAGGGTATCACATTATGTAGTTGTTCATGCTCGCACCATCAAGCGTGTGAAAGTACGCACACGTGACGATGCTGTTTGTGGTTGACAAGGAAGCGAACGCGATCTATCGACTTGTTTGCTATTTACATTATATACTCAGCGAGCAATATTTTGGTCATCGCACGAAAATGGCTTTTTATTCAGCAGTTATAAGTTTAGATACTATGCGGTGTTAATAGATTTTAGTACAAGAAATTGGTGAAAATATGAAAAATTATCTAGATTTTGGACTAAAATTGAGACTTTGTGTTGGATAAGCTGTAGGTGTATTATGATTTATTATTGGAAATGTCTTACAATATTTCTATATTATTATCAGAATTCAAATGGAATATTTCAGATGGTCACATGGGTTGATCTTTTGACTAGAACGTGACATAGGTTGTGTAAAGGACTTTTGTTCCAATAAGTTACCCTGGAACACTGTATTGATCTTTGGCATGACAGAGCAAATCCCCTTTTTCGTTCATGATGAGCAAATTGCAGGTGCTATCTAGTAGTTTCTCGATCGGGAAAGGTTAAATATACCGGTCGCGACTGGTTCATTGCACCGGCGGTTTATTTTGACCAATCAAAAGTGGACCTTCTATCCAAAATTAAGTGCACCCAATCTATTTCGGATTATACTATTTAAATTTGGTGTACCTACCCTGATCGCATGTGCTGTTTGACGCTTGCCGGCAGGCAGAGCTACAGCGTCAAAGGAAAGAGAGATATTGAGAGACAGTGGTTGAGCATCAGGCGATAAAGTGTACATACAGTGACGCTGTATCTTGGTAGAATTGCATACAGCGCTTGTGTCATGCGTACGTATTCTACCATATATCCAGGATGTCTTTTCATTGCAGAAATGGTTACATCAGCATCATGGTGTAATGATCCCTGGTGGCAACGCTGCGATACCTGTTCATGATATACGTGCAACACATTTAAGTACGTTAAGGTTTCCCAATGATCCGGACAGCAGCAACGTCTTTAGCTAAATGTCACTTACACGACGTTGACAACATTGATTCCGACCGATGATTCCAGCCTTAAGGCAACCAGCGTCAAGGAATTACGCATAAATTTCATTAATAGACGAGAATTAGATGGCGGTGGACTCTCATAGACATCCTCCTGAAAAAAATCGACACACATTGGTGTTATGTGGCATGTATATGCACGCCTCAAACAAATGCAGTGTGCTCCGCAAGTATAGTGTCACGTCAATAGAGCCCAAATATGTAGTTTATTGATTAATTTGATCGATGCAGAAAACTAAGAACACATAATAGAAAAGACTTTACTTTCGGACGCGTGCCAGACGTGTTTCGACCTGCCGCCGCGGGCCTCCTCAGTGGCTTACCGAATGCAAAGTGAGACATCTCAGTGCAATGGCCTCTGCCGCTGTCACACGTTTCCCTACGCATCAAATATTCTAAATCTACCTCTTACACGGACAAATTTATCATCATCCAGCAGACTTCACCGGCGTACAACTAGTCCCCGGCTAGTTACGAAATATTACTTTTCAACAACCAAATGCCACTCTCTGCGTCCTATTCATTACCTCAGTCTTCGTAGCTCATCACGAATAAATTTTGAAGTGGTAAAGGTATACCAAAATTATGATGATATCATCAAAAATAGATTGGCTATAACAGATTGAGCTTAGACATCATATTTTTGATTGGCCAAAACGAATTGCCGGTGCAATGACCCATTCGCGACTGGTACGTTTAATCTTTCCCTTTTCGATTCCAGCCAATACGTATGCTCATTATTACACTAGCCTTATTTCTTTATCATTCAACTATAAAATGGTACTACGTAACGTGAAGTAAGGTTAATGCGTTGGAGTGTTTATCTTAGGTCATATAGGCCTAACTTTATCTGGTGGAGCCTATGAGGCGCCTACTACAGTGCCATTATGAGAGAATGCTAAATTTATCTTAGGACCTAAAGGCCTAACTTTTATCTGGTGGAGCCAATGAGGCGCCTACTACAGTGCTATTATAAGAGAATGCTAAATTCTGTATCGATATTGTCTATGCTGACTTAGTACCGCTGCTATTGCAAGTTATTTCTACAAAGTTTGTTAGTTGCACGTGAGTCGGTGCACGACAGTCCCGATGGAACACACGATCACTATGACTACGTGAACACTGACATCAAACTTTTGTAACTGTTTTAGTAGGCAGTAATGTATCTAGTACTGTGGTAGCTTACTTTTTGTGTACTGGTCTGACCGAACGAGTACTCGAAGCTTGTCTTACCCGATGCGACGTTGCTATGCTGATGCAATCTTACTACCTGAGCGATCGCCGCATTCATTTACACGAACCGTGTCTATCACCCCATACATCTATGTTTCGCACCAGCTCTTGTGCTACATCGGCTTCTGCGTCATGGCAGAGAATTCTGAAAAAGAAGGGGGCGATCACAAAAATGTTTGACGCCGTGTGTGCAATCCGCGGGTGTAAACAGTTCAGGGACGTTGATAGTCAGTTCTCAACAATTGTTCGTTTTGTGCTTGAGTTCGACCATAGATCGTGGCATGTAGACGGTTTGTCAGCGATCAATACCACATGCGACTGCGTGATGCAAAAGATGCGGTGCTTGTCTTGTCGGTGCGGATGCGTGGTACTTACTTGTTCTCGAATCTGTTCGGGAGAATGACCACAAGTCTTTGATGCAGTGGTGAAAGTAACGTATGAGGAAAACAGCGGTGTTTTAGATTTATTGTAACGACTACAGCACCAGAAGCTGGACTGTGGATGAGCTCGTATTTTTCTGAATGCATAAGCCCTAGCAAATCGTTATTTGCTAACCTCCGGCTGGGATAAATCCGACACTATGGCGTGGGCTAACCGTCTCGACAAGACACGCCATACAGAGATGGCACTTGTGCATCATTTGTGCGTCAGGACCGACCCTCTTCCAACTCAAAGGATGCACAAATACTCATTTTACGTCAAGCTTACACGTGTTGATGCTCTTCACAATTTGGGCTCTTGATCCACAACCGATAAGAGATGTAGGCCTCCAAAGAGCCGATTATCCGGCCCCTTGACCTGAGCAGGACACTCCTAAAGGTAAAGCCCAGGTAAAGGGAGAGGAAATTGTCTCTGCTGCATGCGCCACGGGAGACAGCGCGGCGTGCGATCCAAGCGGAGTGCAACAGGCAAGATATCTCGAGATGTGTGGCGCGTCAAAATGAACACCCTGCACCCAGGCGCGAACAAGCCCTGATCTTATACATGCGACATCAAGTCGTCAACCCGTCTGCCAAGCACCAATCCAGGTCGTACGGAGAATAATCGCTAAGAACGTGATGTTGTCCGGTGGACTCAGGTTCAGACGTACAACCAAGAAACGAGTCAAGATGGGAGTGATCGAGGTGGTCGCTGGCCTCACGTACGGGCGTCCTATGCACCCTGCATACACCCCCAGCATGGTCAGACGTGCCCTTCATATAGTGCCCCATGATGGCCGATGACTCGAGCCAGCAGAATGAGCCAGCGCGGAGACCAATGCTATGGTCATGGTAGGAACTGAGGCCAAATTTCATACAGACATGAAGGCATAGTCCTAAGTAAAGGAAATAGAGAGGCTGCTCCTCTCTCTTGTACATGCCGGTGCAAAAATGTGACAAGTAGATTACAGTAGCACAAGGCAGAGGACGCAACGATGGGGAGAATCGATAGCAGGCATTCGACCGTCAATGATGCAAGGTCAGCGCAATGTGGTGGAGGCAGAATGTGCCATCATCGATAGGGCTCAATGCCTTTAAGTTTGTTCACATTCGAACTGTCTTCGCCGTGCTCGAGTTCCTGTGGACGTTTTCCCTCTACATCAATCCTGTCATGACATCCATAGAACTTAAGGACCTGGCCCCGCTATTACTCAAGAAGGAGCGCGCCAATGGTGACATCAACCCATCGGTGCTCACTAATGTATTACGGGGTGGGAAAGTCGCCAGTGGCCGACGTCGAGAACTTGTGAAGATGGTTGAGCAACATCCAGTGCTTTCAGATCGCGGTATGGTGTACCGCAATCATACGGAGCGGTACAGCTTTGGATTGAAGAAGGCGTACTATATGGTCAAGCTATTCCAACAGGGCGACTACACGGACATGGAAGAGACGGTGTTGCTGAATGCGTTAGGGGAACAAGTGCCGTTGGACTTGCATCGCAACATGTTCATTCCGACCATCGAGACCCAAGGAACCGACGAGCAACGTGCCAAGTGGCTGCCACTGGCCAAGAAATACCGGATCATTGGTACTTATGCGCAGACGGAACTGGGCCACGGATCGAATGTGCAAGGGATCGAGACTGTTGCTACATTTGATTCAAGCACCCGAGAGTTTGTCATTGATTCGCCGACATTGACTAGTCGAAAGTGGTGGCCAGGCGGGCTGGGCAAGACGGCGACGCATGCTATTGTGATCGCGCGACTCGTCTTAGGCAAACAAGACGTGGGTCTGCAGTCGTTCATTGTGCAAATTCGCTCGTTAGTAGATCACACACTGATGCCTGGTATAAAGGTTCGCGACATTGGACCGAAAATTGGCTTCAATGCCATTGACAACGGCGAATGCACCTTCGACAAGGTCCGCATTCCACGTGAAAACATGATGATGCGATATGCTCAGGTGCTCAAGAACGGTTCCTTTGTCAAGCCTCGAAACGACAAACTTGTGTACCTAACAATGGTACAAGTGCGTGCAAATTTGATCAAGACACTCGGAGAGCGCCTCGCTGCAGCATCAACAATCGCCACTCGTTTCAGTGCTGCTCGAGTTCAAGGACATAAACCCAGCCAAGATGGCGAGTTCCAAGTACTGGACTATCAGAATCAACAGTACGCTTTGTTTCCGCTGATCGCAATTGCTTACGCCTCGCACTTTGCTGGATCAACTGTGATGTTGATGCACGATGCAGCGCTAGAGAGTATCAAAAGCGGGGACGTTGGGTTTGGTGCCAAGCTTGCTGAACTTCACAACGTGTCCTCTGGGCTAAAAGCCTGGATATCCAACAAAGTAGGCGAAGGGATTGAGGTCTGCCGTCGACTCTGCGGTGGACATGGTTTCTCCCAATCCAGTAACCTTGGGCATTTGTTTGCGGAGATTGCAGGAGCCAACACGTTCGAAGGAACGTCGGACGTACTCGTCCAGCAACACACTCGGTATCTTCTCAAGAAGCTGGCTCTCTCTTTGACTTCTGATGACAAATCCGCGCAGTTTGCGAGCAACGCGAAGTCTTACACTCACCACGAGCTGCAATGCAAAGCCGAGGTTCCTGCGGACTTTGGCGAATTCAATCTTCTGATGAACGCATTTCGGGCACGCGCTACCCGTTCTCTGCTGGCATTGATGGCATCAATGGAGGCCACTAACAATGATGGCAATGCCAATATGATCCGCTTGACGCACGTGTCCATTGCTCATACAGAGCTGATGGTAATGGCATCTTTCGTGCGTGGGGTCGAGAGTCTACCTGTCGGAACGGAGAAACAATGTCTCACCGACTTGTGCTCACTCTTGGGCGCGTGGCTCATCACCAGATCGCTTGGCGACTTTCGCCAAGACAACTATCTCTCTTCGAAGCAAGCTCAGCTAGTTCGCGAACAGGTCGTTCACCTGCTTCCAATCATCCGCAAGAACTGTGTGCTGCTCACCGACGCCTGGGACTTCAGTGATTTTGAGCTGAACTCCACGATAGGCCGCTACGACGGTGACATATATCGTGCGCTTTTGAAACGCGTCGAGGACGAACCACTGAATCGGACTGAAGTTACGTCCGGTTATGAGAGGTACTTGAAGCCTCTCATCCATTCCGGACTATAAGCTTGGTCTGTCCGCACTAGAGTTGTTCAAGCTGATCACCACGAATAAAATCGGAGCTTTGCATGCTGCTGCACACAACCGGAACAGTTTGACATGTAGGTATTACGATGAATAAAGAAGTCGACCGTGTCGTTGGGATGCATAACATCTGTCGATAACCGCGAGAATACGCTTGGACGGGATCGATGCTGAAGCTTCAGCACAAGAGTCGCGATTTTTGTCGGTCAAACCTACTCTCTGCTGGTGGTACCAAACCGCTTCCTACCACGTTCAGCTTCCATTCCATGCAGGCCTTGTAGTACTGCAATACCTACATATTGGATTGTCAAAGAGTTATTTTACAGCCCTCCGGACTCGTGTTTTGTTCAGGACTCGTCAGCAGCTCGTTACACCATGGCACGACGCATGTCACCGCTGTAGCGCCCGACACAGAGTTTTGCTCGGAACCACAAAGTCCCGTGCACCTGTAGACAATACGAAGTATGTGCGAATGACTGGAAGCGATTGTACAGCTTGCTCGTGCACGGGGTCATCCTTTTCGGTTGCTGGAAGTCTCCAAGCGATATGGTAATGAGCCACGCTCCAAATAGCTACTGACTGCTGCTCACGATCCCAAGGTATGTTTCGATGCCCCAGCAATAGCGAATTCGAGTCATACCAGCTCGGGGTGGGAGGCAAGCGCACGTTATATGAGACCATTTGCGCGTTGCCATCTCTCGTTTGCTAGAAGTCACGCCAGCATTCTTGTTGATAACGTACATGCTTTTGCACCACACAGCAAAAGTTCCTATGTACGTATTGGTTCCAACAATCTCGGCGATATTGTGCGATAAGTTGCTGGCACGATAGAACTGTGATCCTCACGCCAACTGCGGCACGCAATACCAATAACGTGTGTTCAGCAATCCAGGCAACGTGGCCAGACGTTAAAGCGCAAACCCTTGGCACACCCATCTTAACCAAATCCAAAGGCGGGTTGTGCAGCTCTACGAGAGAGCCACTACAAGAATGAGCAGCTCACGACATAGCAAGCAGCGGAAGTGCTATGCTTCTGATTTAGTAGTCCAATACCTGGAACTCACCCTGGAGATTCGGCGCCCTTACCTTGATTTTTTCAACACTGAAGCGAGTGCAAATGGTCGTAGCTGTTCTTTTGTGCGTTGCGAGAGTCTTGACCAGCTATGCTCGAATCTGCACCACCGTTAAATACACCGAGGGGCTCATTAAAGATTCAACCAGGCACTACCTCCGCACAAAGTATCAAACGTGTTTACAACGGACGCACAGTCGCCAAATTCAACGGCATTGAATACGACTTTGAGGCCCATGCCACCCACTTCGATCCCAGCTAGTGGCGTATGGTCGAGCAGTGACCGAACCTGAACCACAAACGCTTACACACCCGCATCTTTCTCAGCCGAGGTTAGCCTGGCATGCACAACGCATGAGTCTGTGTCTTGCCCAATCCTGCTGGCCACCGCTTCCGACTTGTCAGTGTTGGCGAGTCCAGAATAAACTTTTATGTGGCTTTATCGAAAATCGCGAGTGTCTCGATGCCTTCCATGCTTGATTTGTGACCAAGTTACATCCGAGCCTAATCTCCTGAAGTCTTGTTCCACTCCGCCATGACAGCTACTTAGCTCGTTGCTCTACTGTCAGGACAAACATAGCTCAACGCACGTCCACGCCTAGTTATTCACCCAGTGCCTGATCCAAGATCTTTATGTTATCCTTATTGGTGTCACTACCGTCATGTTCTAATTTATCATCGGAAAAACAATCATTGTTTAAACTGAACTCGTAGAGCGCCCATGTGACTCTGGAATTATCACATCGCGGTCCGAGGAAGCTTGGAATGGCGCGTAATTACCTACACGAGCTGCTTTCGAAGGTCGCTTGCTTAATCAGTACTAAACTTCCAAGGCAGTAGTCTTCTGTACGGTCGAATCGACATTTATTTGAACGGGTCGGGCCATTACTACTATTTGACCGCACTTTAAGGGCAGGTGCGGTGTCAGGTCTTAGAACCTTAGTATGAGGATCGATGCGACCAAGCAAATGTGTGAATTAGACGGGGCCATTTCTTGCAAGAAAAACGCCCAATTTGTGCACGGTATCACTTCAGTGCACGATACTAATTACTATCCAATAAATCTAGGTGTTTTAATTTAAGCAGAATGATTAAAGAGGATTAAATTACGTAATTGCTAAATTCGCTGAGTGAATTAATTTAATTTTTTTTGAGATAAATAGTAAGTGGAGGGGGTGGGAATAATTTCCGCACGTAAAATCGAAACAAAAGGAAGTAATTAGAAGGCGGTGCGCCGCGAGCATTACGCGAAACAAGACGTCGTCGATGCTTTAGACAGAGTGAGTCACGGTGAATCGTAAGCCGAGGTCGCGCGGACGTCGTCTATTTTGCTACGTACGTTGTTCATAAAGGTAAAGGCGCGGCGTAGTAGGGTCTCTATTGTAGGGAGGCGCCACGGCCCGGAGCCGTGTAATCTCAGCAATGTGGAAAGTCACCTGATGGATTGGTTTGATGCTAAGCAGTGCGTGGGCCAACCTGTTGCCCGTATATAGATCATAAAGCACCCTACTTTAAGATATGACGCACTGCAAAAGATCGCGAGAGGCGGTCAGTCGATATAAATCAAGTACAGGAAAAATCTGCGCTACCTTGGTCGCCAACCAGTGCTCGTACCACGCACTTTGCAGAGTATTGGGAGAGGGCAAAACACGGTGGAAAACTCATCGGTTATGTGCTTTTTTAACACGATAGCCAAGCTGCTCATTCAATATAGGATCGACTCGTCGAGTATCTTTAACATTTCTTCAACATGGACGAGACCACGTTTACGCCGAAGTCCGCGACTCGCACCGTCATTGCCATCACAGGCTCTAGGAATGTGAAGACAGAGATCAATTGCCACATGTCCGTAGTGGTGGGCGTTAGTGCGCCTGACTTCGCTCGTGAGGACAGAGATTAATTGCCACATGTCCGTAGTGGAGGGCGTTAGTGCGTCTGACTGTCCCTCCCCACACCATCTTTCCTGGCGTTCGCCTACTTAAAAAAGAGCACGTAGCGCTCTCGGTTGATGGCGTGTGTGTCGCAGGCGCTCTAAATCTCCATGCGAATGCCAAGTCAATGTTATCTAAAAGACTAAGACAACTCCACCGGTGATATTGGATTTTTGATAATCGCGTATTTTTACAAAATTTCACCTAGATGGCGATATCCTGTATGCATTGCTTTCCATAATCCCCATGTCGCCAGAAAAAGAACAGTCAATACATAGCACAAGTAGCAGCCTTGACAAGTTTGAGGGAGGAACAAGTCGAATTGTAATCCAGAACGGTGACACACCGGAACCAGTCACTATTTCAGATTCATTCATGCCCATCAAATTTGACGCGCTGGGCCTAAAATACACTGTCTCAAGTTTAAGAACCGTGTTTTAAAATGAGCGAAGCGCAGGACGTTCTGCGCTACTGGTTCGATGGCGACCAGACCGAGACACATCGCTCGAAATGGTTTGCACCCGAAGGATCAGACAAACAAAAGCAAACGGACGTTGAAGTTGCGAATCGTTTTGGTTCTTTACTGACGCGTGCAGAGGCCAACGAGCTTGAGAGTTGGTCTACCGAGTCTCCTGACTCTTGTGTGGCACTAATTTTAGTCCTGGACCAATTTTCGCGTCATATTTATCGAGCGCGTAATGTTGCGGAGCAAAAGTGCGAGCAACTCAAGCGAAACGACGCGCACGCACTAGCAGTTGTCGAGCAACATTTGCTGGCCAACCGCTGGCACGAGACGCTGCCCGTGCCTCGCTTTGTGTTCGCGTTGATGCCATTGCGTCACTCGCCGACACCTGAACGACTCGACACGGTCTTAGCTGCAATTGAAGCGTGTCGACAGGTGCAAGAACAACACGGAAAATTGCTGGAAAAGTTCCGACGGACTACGACTGATAGACGGCAGCATTTGCGAGGAAGTTTAAAGGACGAGACGGAAGTTAGTGCAGACGAGGACATCTTGGAGCGAGTTTTTAGTGAGACGGACGAGAGCGACATGCCTCGACATCGGCTTTATCGTGCACTAGACGAATATTTGAAGCAGATGCGAGCTCACGAGCATTCACACATGGCAGTCTCGCTGTCGGGAGGAGTGGATTCGATGGTGGTGGCGTATTTGCTGCACAAGTTGAGGGAAAAGCACGGAAAGTTTACAGTTGTGGCCGTGCATCTTGACTATGGAAACCGCCCTGAGAGTCGGGCAGAGTGTGACTACGTTCGTCGCTGGTGCAATAAGTTCGGCATAGTTTTCCATGTGCGTCGCATTGAGGAGATGAAGCGCGCTACGACGCGACGGGATGGATATGAACGTATATCGCGTACGATTCGGTACACGACGTATGCCGATGTGATGCAGAAGTATAACATTCCGGGTATGTGCTTTGGTCACCATCGAGGTGACGTGCAAGAGAACGTCATTTCGAACATGATGAAGGGTCTGAGTCTGCTTGATTTGAACGGAATGCAGGCGAGTAGTACTGTGAACGGCGTGCGCATTTGGCGTCCATTATTGGACTTTGACAAGGACGTCATATTCGAGTTTGCACATCGATATGGCGTGCCGTACTTCAAGGATACCACACCAAAGTGGAGTACGCGTGGCAAACTACGCAACCATCTCGTGCCTCTACTCAGAGATATGTACGGTGATGGGTTCCTCAACAACCTCTCGGCTTTAGGCGCTGAGTCAACGCAATGCGCTGATCTCGTGCATTCTCAAGTTCTGACTCCCATCATGGAATCGGTTGGACAGAGCGACGTAGCAGTGTGGGTAGACTGCAGGCTGTTGTTGAACCAACCTTTCTTTGTGTGGAAAGAAGTTTTTCGTGAAGTGTGTCATTCTATCATGGGCAACAGTATGGTGCGCGACAAACCGCTGCACGAACTGATCCAGAAGCTAGCGCGTCTGGAAGCTAGCTCGGTGAACACAGCCAAGCACAAAGACAAGGAAGCTGAGACCGGATCATGGATCACGCTCAAAAAGGGTAACAGGTCGCTCTTGACTACCTGCAAGCATCTCATTATCTTTCGCGACCGCTTCTTCCCTCTTGAAGCGTACGTCGCTCCTCTGCAGCCCATTTCAGCAGGCGTGGCATACTTGTTTGGTCCGTGGAAGGTGCAGACAGAGCTACTGGATGAAGATCACGCTATCGTGCAAGAACTTCGCAACCGCAAGCCATTGACTGTATGGGACATAGTGCGTGATAACGGTGTCTCGTACGTGTTTCCGAATGCGCCCCAATTGGTCGTTGACTGCAGTGCTCGCTTCCAGGCGCTGCGAGCCGTTCAAAAATCCATCACTGACGTTATGCCCATTGTGTCCTCAAGTGGTGCCTTCGACGTTGTCAGCACAGGCGATGTCTCCTCGAAATGGGTACATGCCACAGTGACCTACTCTGGATAGAAAAAAGCTCTTGATGGCCACTGAACGGCTAAAGACATTGCTAGACTTGTGGATGAGGCATAGAGCGGGCGAGTGAGAGCTGTTACTCATTTATGTCCCTAGCTAATCATACACACTGCAATCTTGACGTCTAGAGAGAGCACGAACTATTTTGTACTACATTGTGCCACAGCATGCATCGCTTTGCTCAGTATAATCTACCTGATGACCATGACAGATTACCCATGCCGTCCTTACTTTAAGATGAATCAACCAAGCAAGATGAAATTTGCAGCACTGCCACCGTCGTACGAGTTGACCTGTAAAAACACTCAGCCAAATGTGGGTGGACCAATGACTAACAACATCTCAACCGTACTGAATTCAATCGCGAACCCAGGCAGGCTCACTTTCTGCATTCATCGTCCTACAGAATACATCATGGTCCAACAAGGTCGTATCGCTGACGATGGCATCGGTGCACCACATTCGAAGAGAGACTCCGACTCTCATAGTACGAATGGTGTATTCGTGCATCCCCTGTACCAACAAGGATGGCCAAAAGCGTCAGATTTAATGCTACTGACTCGTCCAGACGCGACTTGTTTAGACTGACAAAGGTTTCCAATATTCCGAAACACGCAACAACAACAAATTCACACCGCACCTTCTGCGGGGCCTGATTTCTGTCGCCACCTAATCGCGTGTGATTGACATGGTAATGCCATGAGTAGTTGCATTGATTCCATATGCACTGAGACTTTCGAGCCCATCAAAGAACTGCGTGCAAACTTATCGCGCTGGTTGACAAAAACTGCAATAGAGGTGCTTATTTTAATCACATTTCACAGAACATAGATAGCTCTTTATCGTTTCAGAACACTAAACAGAAATTCACAGCTGCGTGCTATACTTTCTTTTTGGGTATTCGTGCGGAGCTCAGCACTTTGTGCTGGCAAAATATTCGAGGTCCACATCGAATGTTTACACGCAACAAAAGTAGTCTACACCCATCGGTTACCCTATTGCCACCCCCCCAGATATGCCCTCCCCCACCTATTGACCCTTTTAGCCGCTTTGACCACCCACGTTCACTAAAAAACACCAAATGAGATTCATTTTTTACTCTTCGTCATTATCCGCCACTTTTTACTTCGGTCGTCATTTCACGCCACATTGGTGTCAATATTTTAGAACTTTGTTATTTCAGTGCATTTACTAACCCATTCTCTTCAGTGTCAAACTATGGACCAGCCCTTGTCTAACTTCACTCATTTACACTCGTGTCAATCCAACAACCTGCTAAAACCTTGACCCTGGATAAGCAAACATTTGAAGTGCCGAATATAGGGTTCTAGTCGTGCTTCCGCTATCATAGAGATGAGGTATGCTTTTAAAAAGTGAATTAGTCTGTAGACAAGCGGTGATGTTAGATTTTGGATCTCAGAAGCCGCTAACATCCGCCGAACGTTCTGCATAGGGAACGGTGGATAATGATCAGGAAGCTTTTCGTGATTATTTCTCTAGCGCATACTAATTTATGGTGTATGTAAAACATCTTGATGACCTGTTGCGATAAACCAGGCTTGCTAGTAAGTTAAATATGGCGACTACATTCAATGCCGTCGATGCATAGATCGAGGAAAGCGTCGCGCACCACTCCGGCACCGACACGGCTTATCAGAAATTTCGGGCGTTTGTCCTTCACCACAGTAGAGATCACAAAAGAAGCATCTTGGATGTAGCTGAAAAAGATAGGAGAAGAAAGTGCGTGGTTCGTCTGACCAGCTTAGTTCCGCAACTGACTCCGCTGATGTTTTTGTTGGCTATTGTGCGGTTGGTGTAATAGGAGATAAAATTTGTAGAGTGTATGTCAGCAACGATACATGAGAGCGTAGGCAGAATAACAAAGCTGTGCTCGATATCCTGCATGTACGTGGAAACGTTCGTCATGTTATTGTCTAGGCGAATAGAAAGTTGGTATCGACAGACGAGGCTGACATATCGCATTTGTAAGTTTTAGGACGTGTCAAGCCTCTTCATCGATCATAATTTTTTTCGAGGCCCCTATTTCTTAGTAGGCACAATCACTTTCAGAATCATCGATTGTGTGGTATTGTTGTAAATATAGCTCGTTGTTCTCCGATTGCTCAATTTCCTCACCACCGATCGTCTAGTATCTTCATTGAGCGCGGCATATACCATCACTCTACAACCACTGTTCCTCCAACTTGTGTGCCTTTCTCGTCCGATGTTGATTCAGCGATGAGAAGTACCTTCGCACAATCTGAATTTGTTTCCAGTCATTGCTGTATCTGACGGCTCTTGCCTCATCATGATTACGATTTTACATCGGCAGAAGCTCTTGACGAGATTTAGAAAAATTGATAAAGTCTGAGTGCCGATGATCCCTTGCAGTGATATTACATTGCGGAAATAAGTTTGCCTTGTTCTAGATCGTGCCGACAGCTCTGCTGTTGGCGCCTCAACTATGATGTTCATCCGAATCTCTTTGTGTCAAGTACCTCGGCTTCCGAGACGTCTTCCGTGCCACCAAACCTACCATTCTTGATGCCGCACCCTAAGATGTTATTTGTAGCATCTGCTGCAATTGATATGGAAATTAGGGAAAATAAAGATGGTCCATTTAAGCATAAAAAATAATAGAGGATTCGCGAAATGCCCGGTCGTTTTTGTAAAATGCCCGCATTCAGACGATGACTTAAAAGCGATTTTTTCTGGATGTACGCATTCCTCTTTCTTTACAGGTCAGAAAGTGATACTCAATTGTGATAGTTATCTTTATACTACCACTATTTCGGTCATCGTGGCTCGATGTTCCGTAGCAAATATAGCAGCCTATTTGGTCTGCAAGAGGTAGCCGTATAGGGTGATGCTGGTAGGATATTCCACCACTCGTCGCGGCTAATGTACAAAAGCTAAAACACACTAAGCTATAAATCAGATTTGGCAGTCATGGCATATAACTTGTAATGGGGTAGCCCGTTACATGATACTGACACCAAACGGTGTAAATAGGGAGATTGTCTAGCGTGACAATTCCTTTTCAACATTATCCGAGATGGATAATATTGAAGGAATATTGTCCCCTTATAGGCAAATGTTCCTGCGCTGCTCAAAGATTGGTAGATAAAAGACATATCAACCAAGGTTACCACTAATCGCTGCTAGACGCACGTGATGAGTGGTGATCAGGTTGTCGTCATACGACAATGTAGATTAATATAGTTATAAAAAGACTGAAGTTTTAATGACAGCTTAACTTTATAAAATACAGTTTTCTTATACCTTTTACTCCAACTAGCGGTTCGAGTAGATTAGCTTCCTCTGCACGTAGTAGTGTACGTAAATTTTCGCGGCACCCCAAACAAAGTGTGCTTTGTTACAAAAGTATTCACAAACAGCGGCCGCGTCTGTTATGCGCACAAACAGAGCATGTCACGTAAGCGTGGATAGAGTGGGTCCTCCTCTTGATGTGCCAACTTGATGCATCCCGGACGATGTGAAAATGTGCAAGCCCTCTTGTAACAAGCGCTGGTTACTATTATAAATGCACGCATCACGCAGACAATGGCATCTGCTGCAAATGAGCAATATCCCCAGGCAATGATACCTATTCTTGCATCTGTATTAGTCTCATTAATGGTACCATGCGCGGCCGAGTCTTCCACAATGACCGGAGTGTACGATTAAGAAATGCCTCTTTTATGTCACGATGTTGGCATCTCTCGTCGCCGCTTACTCGTTGTCGGCAGTTGGACATACGAGTCGTTGTAAATGACCTTAACGTCCGCGAAAGTTGAGTCGTTTACTGCCTTTTGGAACGCAAGGCAATTTAATTCTGCTGCGCGTAGGCAAAAGCCACACCCTTGGCAGCTGCCACACTAGCACATGATCCTGACGAAAGTTCTTCTTGTATTATCCAACCCGAAGGTGAGAAAGTGTGATGCAATGGGTACATTTAAGGTAGAAAGAGGGTAACAGAATACAGGAAACGCAAAAGGTGCTGTATCACTGTCTGATATATGAAGAAAGAGGGTGCGTACATCCAGAAAAGAGACATACTAAGTGACCGTCTGAATGCCGGCATTTTACAAAAACGACCGAGCATTTTTTTACGTATCCCCAACTCAAAGTTTCCTAGATAATTGGAATATCAATAGGTCCCACGACCTCATTTACTCATGTTAACGTGGTACACATACATCTACAATGTGCTTCGATGTAAGGCTCAACCTAACTTAACTACTCTTAATACGCTATTTGCTGGCACGTCTAACTGTCTAAAATCGATGAGCTCTTAGTCACGGTAAAGCGGATGCCCCTGTAGTAGGTGGGACGTATGCTATGCCCGCGTTTCAATGCTATATTATGTCAATACATGTTTGCAACGTGCATAATGGAGCAATCTAGGTGCGTGGAGCAAACGCACCTATTTTCAGCTTTTGTCGACGACTCCACTCTATTCCTCGCGAGTGCTGGGCAAATTTAGCAGGCTCTACACATTGTGAGTGATTTTAGTGCACTGTCGGGCTTGCATGTACAACCAAGCAAAAGCAAGCTCAAACTATTAAACAGGGCGATTAATGCCAGGATCTACGAGGGTATCGAAGTCGTGCCACCAGGAGGTACTACCAGGTATATGGGATTTATGGTTGGCACAGGAACGTAGATAACGAGAATTTGTCCCTTCGGATCCAGAAGATTCAACGACGACTCTTAACAGCAACTTGGGCGGCGACAAGCTTAGAGAACAGAGTTCTTATACTCAACTTCATCGTGCTTCCCTCCCTGCTGTCACAGCAAGCGCATTCGAGCTACCGATGTGGGCCGAGAAGGAGCTGTCCAATTTGTACAAGCAATTCTTATGGGCTCACACTACTTCAACAGAGGCAAGGAGACATAAGGTCAAGCCGGGTTTATTAGTAACGCCTCAACAGGCAGGTGGTATAGGGCTGGTGGACATGTCGGTCGCAGTCAAAGCTCAACGTACCAAGCAT